CGTGGTGCGCAGGGGTCAGTGGTGGGGCTGGCAGCGCTGGCTGAACGGTTGGACTCAATGATCTTAAAGGTCTTTTCCAACCTAAACTATTCCATGGTTCTATGATTTGTGAGCAGCTGTCGGCTCCGGTGCCGTGTTCGATCCCAAGGCTGACTCCTCTTTCTAAAGGACTTGAGTAAAACTTCCCACAGCTCCCCCCGCTCCAGCCTGTGCTGCGTTTCTTGGTTTCGCAGGTGGTCTGATTAAACTCACACACTTGAGTTTTATTCTCTGCTCCGAGTGAGTCCTTTTTTGCCTTCAGTCTCAGTCTCCTTGCCTCTCGATAAAGTACTGACGGGCTTTCTTGTAAGCAGTGGGTGTTTTACAGCTCACTGTGACGGAATATCGAGCAAAACAACTCCACTTCCCCACCCCTCCTCTTCCTCGCATCCTAGTTGGCTTTGAGCATCGTCAAGGGGAAGTCCATGCTGACGTACGAGACAGCATGGGACCGAAACTACTTTCCCATCCTGTAAGATTATTATTTTTTTTAATTAGTTTGTCTTTGAAATTTATTAAAGTTTAAGATGAAACGTCCATGGAAATGTTAAAACCGAAAATGTTTTGGATGGAGTCGAAACTGAAGCGACGTTGAAATCGACCCGTTTATTCTGTGCTGTAAAGTTGACTTTTGGAAGGCATCACCCTGTGGAGATCTCAGAACATAAAAATAGTTTTTTCCTGGAGAATGAATCAGAACTTTCCTGTGGATTGTGGTATCGATATGATCACCAAGAATTAACACGGCATAGGCTGGGTTGCACTTCTCTTAAATATATGAATATGAGCCTGTAGGATTATAAAAACACGTATTATTCCTGTTCTGTAGGAAATACTTGCCGATACTAAAGAACTTTGCCTCCAAGTACATCTATGAGCCCTGGATGGCATCTGAAGAGGAGCAGAAGCAAGCGGGGTGTATCATAGGTAATTCCTTCCCATACCTTGCTGAGGATTGTGCTGCTGTTACCTGTCCAAAATAATTCCATGTCTGAGTCGGAAGTGTCACGCTTCCCATGCCAGTCGTGCATTTATCTTCTGAAAATGGATTAATCCAGCAATCTGTGTTCTGTCAATTCACCTTTAAGGTTTTTTTTTTACTGGAGTCTGATTTCAGGGTACATATTTTTCAGAGTACGTATTTTTCAGAGTACATATTTTTCACATCCTAAAACTATTGGATCGCTCTAAGTTGTTCCCTTTGCTTTTATCCATCTTGGCTGTCTTTAAATAGTATCTGAACATCTTGTGCTTTTTACTCTTGCACTGATCCATCTTTGAAGCATCTTATAAGCTTTTACCTAAGTGGAGGCTCTTCCTCTTGGATGGAGAGAAGCGGGTCTATCTTAGCTGCCATTTATTTTAAGAAAAGCTGCGAGTGTTTCCCCTGGTTGCAAATCCAGCGAGAAATCCTCGATTTAGTTCTGTAACAGCTCCGTGTCGCCCCAGGCCAAGATTACCCCTTCCCAATGGTGAACCACAAGGAAGCCAGCGACCACAACCTGCAGCTGATGAAGCAGGTCAGGGAGGAACAGCACAGAACCGCCCAGCTCACCAGAGGTAAGCGGGGCTGCGGTGTTGGACGTTGGGTACGCCCCATGAAGCGGAGCCTCTCGCCAGCTCTTTGGGGGCTGGTTTTGTGCTGATTTCCAGGATGCTTTTCCTCTTGGTTACTGTTAAAATGGGAAACCAGAGGGTGAGCAGTGTCCCTTCCCAGCTGGCTGCTCTTGCAGGATGGGTTGTGCCCGCTGGAGGAATTTCCTCCCAAACCAGGCTTTCACTCTGCCCAAAGTCCCCACGTTTGCCAGGTGTTATCTCCAAGGGGCAGAAATCCCTGAAGCTCTTCCCGTGCCTCTTGCAAGCCAGAGCGTCATCGTTTCTCCTTTTAACCGT